CTCCAGAAAAACTTCTGTTACAGCAGCAGTACTACAATTGAATGACTTATAACTAATGATCCATCTTCTCGCATTGTTGTCAGCAAAATGATTGACGGTTGATGGAGTAACAGGAGCTGCTTTAGCTACTAGTAAACTCAAGTCCATGAATCCTTCAGTACATACTCCTCCTCCTGTTGCTCCTTCATTACTAGCAACCAATAATAATAGGATAAGGACAGCAAGGGAAAGAGCAGAAGAAAGGTCTATTTCCATGGCCTTATTACATAACCACAGATAATAGAGCAACATCATACCTATGACATAACTCTATCATAACAACCATACCTTAACTTTAAAAAAAATTCTATACATCTAATCAAGCAAAACATCAAATAAAAGTGAATCAGCAATTACAGTAACTAACTACATGCACATCATGTATATCATGCACATCATCAGTTGATAAGGACTACAATACAGTAGATGGCATTTGGAGCAACTTAAATTTGAGTTGAATCAGCTCAAATTTTCTACATTTGTAATGAGCATTACTGGAACTAGATCTATACATGTACATCATGTATATGCATACACAGCAAGTTAGTGTAGACACATGAGTTGATATATGCAATAGTTAATCTTCAACATACTCCTCTTGAGTAAAATTAATGAAAACCTACAAAAAATTAGTGTCATATTTAGCTATATAACTAATTGTCATAAAGATCATAATATTTAAAAATAAATAGATCTACATGTACTTGTAGATAAAAGAACTATTATTTGATAATGTGAAAATAATGATAAAATTGGGGTATTGCCTATGCTTTTTAAAAAATTGGCTGATTTTTAAAAAATACTCATGACTCAAAAAATAGTTGTTGGAATTGGCTCAAACTTTCTACATAGCACAAGGGTATCAATTGATGCACAATGGCTTCAGTTTTTTATTATATCAGGAAATGTAATAAAAATTTAGAATGATTTTAGAGCCATTTTTTAGAAAAAGCCTTGGACTTTAACCTTGGATATTTTTCAAAATTTTGGCATTTTTTAAATCGCCATAACTTTAAAAAATTGAAGTTAGAATGTCAGCTCAAACTGTCTACACAGCTGGTATAATGACATCAATATGTATCAGAAAATGTAATAAAAATAAATGGAAAGAGAGAGGTACAGAGAGAAAATTAAGGATAGTGAAAATACAGCTCATAATAATTATGGTAAGCAAATATTTCAAACTTATTCAAAGTATGATTTTTCTTTTAGTGTTATCAAAATGAAAAAAAATGATAAAAATATATGATCTTTTAGACTACTTTATAAAGGTCTACATAATACATTTCACTCAAACATGAGGTGATGGTCAAGCCTCAACACATAATGAATGTTCAGCAACTTTTTTATTTTCTGTTATTATTAGACAGTGCCATTGGAATAGATTTTAACTTAAACTGCACAGGGCCTAAATTCTAGCTACCATGCTGCATGCTGGAGTGCATGCAGGTATCTTTGTATGATAATGTAAAAAATACTAGCAAATTTATGACAATTTTATGTGTAAGACCCATTTGCCCAGCAATTCAGTTCACAAAAATTTTGCCCCTTCAAAAAAATAACCAACTAAAGTGTGGTAGACCTAGAGGTGAAATAAAATTTTTGGCAATTTCTGTGTACTAGAGCTAACTGTTGTGATAAAATAAAGCTGAAGACAATTGGCAGCTCAACTTGTAAATACTAGTGCCTACTGTTTTCCACTGACTTTATAATTGTAATTTGTCCGTACGACAATAATTAATATCAACTTAATGGTTGTTTTAAACTCCACTCATTAATTGTTGATGATGCGCTATATATTCATTGTCTTTCCAACTGTCCATATGCTTCATTCTGTGTTATTGTAACCTGTTTAAAATAAGAATTGTTAACAAAGTAATGAAATTATTTATTGACAATAACATTTAAATTATAGTAGTTCACTAACAACAAAGAAAAATATATATAATTTTGCATGCAAGTGCTATACTCACCTCTTGTTCATTAATCATTGTTCTTGGTTCATCATATACATGTGCAAAGAATTCTTTATCAATACCTATTTTATAATTTAAATAAACCCTGTTAAATAAAACACTGTTGGCTCTCTAATAATTTTGAGAACAAATTTGGCACTTCAATAGCTATTCCATCAATCTCCAAAAATTTTCCCACATATACAGGCACAATGTATCCATTTATATATACTTTATGCGTTATTTCAGTTTTGATTTGATATTTGTATGCAATTTGGTTGCAGTTACTCTATATAGTGTTTGTCTTAAAGTGGATTCTCAATATGACACATGTGCGTCCATCATGACTGGAAGTGCTGTATAAACCAATGGGACATGCGTCAATGCATCAGATTAGAAAAAATTTCTATTCTGACGCATTGACGCATGCACCCATTGGTTTATACAGCACTTCTGGTCATGACGCTAGCACATGAAAAGCAATGCATCATATTGAGAACCCACCTTTACTTTCATTTCCTCCAATAATACCATATGCAGGATTTGCAGATATATTTGGTAGGTTGTTCTGTCCATCTGTTGCTATAATAACAATAAATAAATAAATATGGTGATTGTTGATATTATTAGGTGCAATATCATACCTAATAATACTTATATTTACCTTGCTGTTGGTGTTCATCAGCTATTCTTTCAGTATCATTAGATCTGTTAATATAAGTGCTATTACCATTTCCATTAAACTGCTTTCTCCTACACACTAATACACTCACTATTAATATTACTAGTATAGTAACTACCAGTAATATAAATACTGCTGTACTAATAACTGCTACTAGTATTATTAGTAAATTGCTTGTATTTTGAACTGGTGTACCTTCCATTGTCGGAGCTATTGACACAGTCAATAATTGTATAATATCTAATAAAATGAGGTTACATATACTTGATATTATGCTAAATTTAGTAGATCTCATAAATTCTTTGACTGTGGTCTTTAAGTATACTTCATAGCTGCTTGATGAAGTAAATAAATCTGTAGAATATAATGTTGTACATACAAAGCAGTCATTGCATAATGTGAAATTAAGTTATTTCTTAATGTAATAAAAGTGCTAAATACATGTACTGTATCAACAAGTACGTGTAGTGGAGTACAATTCTACTACTGTTTTTGACGTTTCTGTGGTGTTAAGAAATTTTTTAATCTAAGAATAATTCTTGTAACATGATACAACTTACCTACTACAACTGATATCAGTGGATAGTCATTATGCTCCAATGGTATTAATCCATTACTGCTATCAAGCTCATAATTCAATGGTCCATTGTATTGTTGATAATACATTGGATTACTATTAGTGGTTACATTGATTACTAATATATCTCCATACTCTACTTCAATATCACTTGTAAAGTTATATACATTACCATTACTTGATGTAGCAGTAGAAGCATCAACAGTTAGTGCATGAATCAGTTCAGAAGAACGTTTTAAATAAATGTTAGGATAATGTTTGCTTGTATCCTGATTCTGTGTAATACCAATTATCCAGTTAGTAATAATACCATTACATGTGAACTGTATATCAGGAAAAGCTCTTGTATCATTGACTGGTATTACATTAGTAACTGATAGACTGTTTGTATTAATTTCAGTTTCAGTGAAAACATTTTGAAAGCAGTTCGGAGGGTCTAAATAATACAATAAAAATATTAGTCATTATCAACATGAGATGTACATGTACCTGTTTTTAGGTGTACCATAAAAACATCAGTTGCTTGTGAAAAATCAATGCTTTTATCTAAACCATTTAATATGATATTTGTTTTGTCAATAAAGTCGGATCTTATTTTTCCAACTCTTGCTACATTGCTAGTGGTTGCATTGTAAAATCTAACAACACTTGAATCATCTTCAGGTTGATACACTCCTAGTCTGTAACGATTGTATATACTGCCACTGACACTAAAAGGAGTAGGAAGAACATAACGATACAATCCATTAGTAGTGACATTATCAGGAGACAGTACAATAGGAATTGTTTTAAGCATATTATAAGATAAATTAACATTGTCATACTGCCATATTTCAATGCTTGGATACTTCATCCTATTGCCATATTCTGATCTGATATCAACTCCAAGAAGAACTTCTGTTACATTAACATCAATACATCTAAATGTATTAGAATTAATGATCCATCTTCCTTCATTGCCCTCAGCTAAAGTATTATCAGCTAGTGAACCAACTGGTGTAGCTGCTTTAGCTACTAGTAGACTCAAGTCCATGAATCCTTCAGTACATACTCCTCCTCCTGTTGCTCCTTCATTATTAGCAACCAATAATAATAGGATAAGAACAAAAAATGAATGAGCTAAGGAAAAGGTCATTTCTTGTTTCTTTGCCACAGTACAGGATTTGATCATGAATATTCTATTAGTTTAGATTATTTAGTTACAACATGCATTGTTGCACCCACACTCAGCTCAACCCATCATGTTGGAGACAAATTAGATCATGTGTATTAAGTCTCCAACTATCGTTGCTGATCTACCCTACAACATTCAACTATTCCATGATGTAAGTGGTACTACCACTTACATGATGGATGGTTGAATGTTGTAGGCAAGACCAGCAATGGTTAGCCAGATTGTGTTCTACAGAAATTATATAAATTTTGAGCTAATTCCAGTTGCATTTTTTGAATTTGAAAATTTCAGAAATTTGATTGACTACCATCCATATATAAAAATTCCAATCTTTAGTATTTGTCACATGAATACTGCAATAATAATCTCATTCATATGGCATGCTTCTAGACATTCATTCTCATACATTGGTACATTGCTATTCATTTTATGAAGTGGCCACTGAGCTTGAAAATGGGTCACTAATACAACTAAAACCACACAAGTTAGCAGTTCTGATTTTGTTACTATATAAGCTATTCCTAATAGCAACAACATTATTCTTATGGTAGTATAACTACTAAATTTGATATCATTTTTCAGTGCACATTGTACATGAATTTAAAGTAGAACCTCAATTGATGTTTATAAATTATATCAATACAGTCATTTTGGGAAGCGAGACTATAAAGGTCTATGGTTAGACTAGATTTACCACACCTAATTTTACTAGTGTTGTGCCTAAAATCATGCAATGACTGATAGATCTGATCAGGAGCACATGAACATACTTGTTTGATTTAAAAGAGAAAGTCAGTAATTGTGGTTTTGAAGAACAACTAAGGAACTATAAATGAACCAAAGGAGAAAAAAAATATTTATAAAATAGCAAATTTGAGTTTTTTGTACTGGCTAATTATTTTATCAACACAATCAATTTTACAATAATATTTTAATACAATTTATGCATATGCTGAGGTGGTTAATTTTGTCCTTATGTTAGATGCACAACTCTTCTTGTTTCTGTTGTGTACATGTTTCTTTATGTGCTGGCATTACAATAACCTGCCAATAAAAATACTGTCAAGCAATGTTGATAAATGCACTGTGATGACTAAGACTTTTAATGTTGATTTAAATAATGAAATTGAAATTAGCTGTGGCTACAAAATTTACAGTATAATTGCAATGTTACCTCTTGTTCATTATTTATTGTTCTTGGTTTATCATACACTAATGGCTCATCATACACTAATAGTTCTTCATTAATACCTATAATTTTATCAAAATTGTGAAAATAGTTTTTATTATTTTACTTTGTGTCATTACAGTGTTGATTCCATAAGCAGGATTACCATAGACATCATCTATTTCAATTATGTAAAAATTGTTAAAATTACTCTTTCAGGTATAATAATCTATCTTACTTTCATTTCCACCAATAACACCATAAGCAGCATTAGCAGATATATTGGATAAAACGTTCTGTTTCTCATCTATTATGATAACAATAAATTATTGATGTTTGTTATTTAAGTTACCTTGTTTATGTTCATCTGCTATACTTTCATTCTTACTTTTAGTATTACCAGTACCTAACTGTTTTCTCCTACACACTAATACACTCACTATTAATATTACTAGTATAGTAACTACCAGTAATATAAATACACTACTAATACTTCCTGCTAGTATTAGACTCCCTGTACTTTGATCAAGTGTATTTTCCATTGATGTAGTTGTCAGTGAGGTAGTAGTAACAGCACTGCTACTTGAAGTTACTAATACTTCACTGCTAGAGGGAGTAATCATAATGGTTGAGCTACTTGATGCTGAGCTACTTGTAGGAATGTGTGTTCCAGTCACTATGCTGGTCAACGAGGCAGTAGTTGTAACACTCCTTGAAAAGGCATTGGTAGAGCTTGATAAGGAAGCAACACTGGTAGAGTAAGGAATATTGCTACTGCTGGTCAGTGAGGTAGCAGTGATAGCACTGCTTGACAAGGTATTGGTAGTGCTTGATAAGGTAGTGTAATGTAAACTGGTAGAGTGGTCAGGCAACATTGTTATTGCAGTAGAAGGGAATTCATTAACTGAAGGAATTGGTTCTGAAAATATAAGGTAATGAAATCAAACATATTGAAATAAAAGACTCACTTATCATAACTGATATTAGTGGATAGTCATTATGTTCCAATGGTATTAATCCATTACTGCTATTAAGCTGATAATTCAATGGTCCATTGTATTGTTGATAATACATTGGATTACTATTAGTGGTTACATTGATTACTAATATATCTCCATACTCTACTTCAATATCACTTGTAAAGTTATATACATTACTATTACTTGATGTAGCAACAGAAGCATCAACAGTTAGTGCATGAATCAGTTCAGAAGAACGTTTTAAATAAATGCTAGGATAATGTTTGCTTGTATCCTGATTCTGTGTAATACCAATTATCCAGTTAGTAATAATACCATTACATGTGAACTGTATATCAGGAAAAGCTCTTGTATCACTGATTGGTATTACATTAGTAACTGATAGACTGTTTGTATTAATTTCAGTTTCAGTAAAAATATTTTGAAAGCAGTTTGGTGGATCTATGTTACATAATATTATTAATATTGCAGAATGAACATACCTGTATTTAAATGTAGCATAATGACATCACTTGTGTTTTGAAAATCAATTTCTCTAGCTATATTTGGACCAAATATTATGATATTTGAATCACTAATGGAGTCTGCTCTTATTCTTCCAACTGTTTCTGTGCTGCTAGTGGTTGCATTGTAAAGTCTAACAACACTTGAATCATCTTCAGGTTGATACACTCCTAGTCTGTAAGTATTATAATTACTGCTATTGACACTAAAAGGAGTAGGAAGAACATAACGATATAATCCATTAGTAGTGACATTATCAGGAGACAGTATAATAGGAGTGGTAACAGGATTATGGTAATATCGTGGCCGAGTAGATTTATACTGCCATATCTCAATGCTAGGATACTTGTTCCTAGTTCCATATTCTGATCTGATATCAACTCCAAAAAGAACTTCTGTTACAGTAGCAGTACTGCAATTGAATGTATCATAAGCAATGACCCATCTTCCTTCATTGCCCTCAGCTAAAGTATTATCAGCTAGTGAACCAACTGGTGTAGCTGCTTTAGCTACTAGTAGACTCAAGTCCATGAATCCTTCAGTACATACTCCTCCTCCTGTTGCTCCTTCATTACTACCAACCAATAATAATAGGATAAGCCGGACAGCAAGGGAAAGAGCAGAAGAAAGATCCATTTCTATAGTGTGCCTTATTACATAACCATAGATAATAGAGTAACAATATCTGTGACACATCTCTATCATAAAAACCACACCTCAACATTTAGAAAATTATACATCTAATCAAGCAAAACATCAAATAGAAGTGAATTAGCAATTAAAGTAACTAACTACATGCACATCATGTATACTTAATACACAGCAAGTTAATGTAGACACGCTAGTTAATATATGCAATAGTTAATCTTCAACATACTGCTCTTGAGCAAAATTAATGAAAACCTACCAAAGAAATTAGTATCACATTTAACTGTACAATTAATGGTCATACTTGTTCCAGTGTGGTCTGACACACACTATAATCAGCAATATTAAGACTCTCCTTATAATGCTCAACAGTACTGAATATCCTAGACCAAGTTATACCCTCAGATGGTACTTGATAGGTAACTGAACCCTAAAACATAAAAAATTGACAAAAAGAAAGGTCAAATTTAGCAAGCACAACCAATTGTTATTGCCTTAGATGGAGTGATATCAGTTTAAATCATACTGATATCAGTCCTGAATCATGATTTTCAAATAATCACTCATCATATAACTGTGAAAATGAGCCATGATGCAATCATAATAAATTTGTATCAATTCGTCCCAGAATAACAGTCATGATCTATAATATAACTTGTCAGGGCTGTACCAGTATAAAGTATCAGACTTGGTCTATTATTTTGGGGCAAAAGTGCTGATTCAGGCTTGATAAAATTTGGTTGTGTAGTAATAATTTTTAAAGTGACAGTAATGGTATTGGTAAGAATTACAACCATCAAGCGCATAGCACATTCAATTATACATCGTTACTGTATCTTATTTCCTTTATTCCTTAATCATACATGTATTTGTTTTTTTTCTTAAAACAACAACAAATATTATTAATAATAAGGAACCTGATGTTGTTCTAGGAGAAGTGATCCTGGAAACACGCTTCCAACAAAGTGTTGTATTTGTCCAGTGTCATAAGGACTAGCCCCAGGCCTTACACCAGGTCCTCCTCCTTCTTGTGGTGGCAATGGACGCACTTTAATCTGCAATGTATAACCATGTCCAAACCTAATGATAATAATAATAATAAATGATAATAATGATAATGATAATAATAATAATGATAAATGATAAATGATGATAAAAATAAACATTCTCATTTATTTTCATTACTTGCTCTTAAGATGTTGTATGCTTCCAAGACACTTGAACCTTCCATTCACCATTATTGCTAAACGTGTACACAAAGCCTCACACTCCTCCATACTAGCAATGAAAATAAATATAATAATAAATGAATTATTATCATAAAATTGTTCACTTAATTATTACTAAAATTACTAAAATAAGCTTAGCATTTAGCTATTTTAATACTGTGCTTATTACACAAATACTAATCACTTTGAAGGATCTATTATAGCATAGCATTACCTATGAGAAGTCAATATAACGCTCCTTCCATTCCTAATAACTTCAATGAGTACATTCCAAAGGTAGCGCCTGGTGGCAGGATCCATTCCAGTGGTAGGTTCATCCAGTAACACTATGGGAGGATCACCAACAAGAGCAACTGCTGTACTCAACTTCCTCTTGTTACCACCACTAGAGAGAGAGGGAGAGAGAGAGAAGGGGAGAAAGAGAGAGAGGGAGAGAGAGGGAGAGAGAGGGGGGAGAGAGAAAGGGGGAGGAGAGAGAGGGGGAGGAGAGAGAGAGGGAGAGAGAGAAGAGAGAGAGAGAGAAAGAAAGGGAGAGGGTATAAAGGAGAAAGGTCAATGTTGGTTGAGGTGATAAAGTGAAGGAAAGAGGAAAGAAATAGAACTTCATTAGAAAGTAAGATACTGCATAGATGGTAATTATAAAGGGAGAATTTTTTTGATGAATTGCTTGATATCTTGTCATTAGCAGGTGTTAGTTTGGCAACTTTGTGGCTATGCAAACATTGCAATGGTTAATTTTGGCAAATGGATATCAAAATGACATCCAAATTAATACTGCATACGCTCAAATTTTCGAGTGTTTAAAATTTTGTGTTGTCAATGAAATGTGCTCAAAAGTTAATATTTGTGTGAGCTAATTTTCATGTTGTGGCCATAGTCTATATACAATAGTATGCCATTAGAGGTGGTTTAAATTTCGTGGATTTAAGGTGAGCACGAAAATAACAAAATTTAATACACCTCAAAAATTAAGACGTGTACGGTACCAGTTTTATGGTATATAGAAAAAAATAAAGAAATATGTTAGATAAATAGGAATGAAAAGTATAAACAAGAAGAGAATGGCTGACCTGTAAGTTCCACATCTCTTATCAGCATATTTAGACAAATCCAATCGATCAATGACAGACTGTACAACTCCTTTTATGGCTTTTTCACGAATCCCACGCAATCTAGCAAACATTGTCAGAAACTTGCGTCCAGTGAGTCTTTCGATCAAAGCATCGAATTGAGGACAGTATCCAATTCTCTGCTGGACTGAGTGTAACTGAGTACTAGAGAATAAAGTGAATGAGAAGAAATTGTAAGTGTAATTGTTTAACATGCAAATGTACAATACTTTAGTTTGGGGATTTAAAATTGAAAATGGCAATATTTTTTTAGAATTATGGCATTTTCTTAAAATGGCTGTAACTTGAAAAATTGAAGTCGGAATTACCTCAAACTTTCTACACAGCATAAGGACATCAATATGCATCAGAAAATGTAATAAAAATTTAGGGTGATTTTGGAGCCATTTTTTGGAAAAAACCATGGGCTAGAGCCTTGGGTATTTTTCAGAATTTTGGCTCTAAAGAATGGTATTAATCCATTACTGCTATCAAGCTGATAACTCAATGGTCCATTGTATTGTTGATAATACATTGGATTACTATTAGTGGTTACATTGATTACTAATATATCTCCATACTCTACTTCAATATCACTTGTAAAGTTATATACATTACCATTACTTGATGTAGCAGCAGAAGCATCAACAGTTAGTGCATGAATCAGTTCAGAAGAACATTTTAAATAAATGTTAGGATAATGTTTGCTTGTAGTCTGATTCTGTGTAACACCATTAATATTCCAGTTAGTAATAATACCATTACATGTGAACTGTATATCAGGAAAAGCTCTTGTATCACTGACTGGTATTACATTAGTAACTGATAGACTGTTTGTATTAATTTCAGTTTCAGTGAAAATATTTTGAAAGCAGTTCGGAGGATCTAGATAAAAATGAATTTAATTTTTTTAATAATGTTATGTGTACCTGTTATTAGATGTACCATAAAAACATCATTTGTTTCTATTAGATCAATTTCTCTCTGGCTGTTAAAACCATCAAATATTCTGATACTTGACTCACTAATGGAGTCTGCTCTTATTCTTCCAACTGTTTCTGTGCTGCTAGTGGTTGCATTGTAAAGTCTAACAACACTTGAATCATCTTCAGGTTGATATACTCCTAGTCTGTAAGTATTATAATTACTGCCACTCACACTAAAAGGAGTAGGAAGAA